AAAACAAAAACAAAAACAAAAACAAAACCAGTCAAGTCTAAACAGTCTACATATAATATAAATATAATTTAAAACTAGGAATAATCCAGCCAGACTTCTTTATATGCAGTTTGACTCCTGATTTCAGATGTTACTTAAATATGGGAATTAATTATGTCACCGTATGGGAATACAAAGGAAATGTGAATACCTCCTCTCAACAATAAACCTAGGTTTATTTCATTTTAACCTTCCTACCCAGGATGCTTTTCACAATAAACCCTAAAGGTAAATTCTGTCCTCCCATTCAGAGCTAGTAAGAACAGTAAAGCAAAGGAGGGTATCTCCCTTTGAACTAATAGGATTTTCGCCAAATGAGAAAAGAAATCAGCCAGTGCCCAACCCCTAGAGTAGCAGATGACTGTCACACCAGGAAGTACATTCAGGCAAGCACCCAGCCCAGTCCCAGCTGTATATACATGGATCTTTTAAGAGCTCCTATGTTTCATTTGTAAGATAAGGGACATTGTCCTATAAGCTTGAAGCAATAAAGCCCTCCCCACAGGGCCAAATAGGTTGCTTTTCTCTCAGTCCCAATCAAAGAGCTGCTACTCTGTGGGCCTGTGACATGGTTTTAATAGAAAAAGGCTGACAACACCGGGAGCAGTGGCTCACGTCTGTAATCCCAGCACTTTGGGAGGCTGAGACAAGCGGATCACGAGGTCAGGAGATCGAGACCATCCTGGCTAACATGGTGAAACCCCATCTCTACTAAAAATACAAAAAATTAGCCAGGTGCAGTGGCGGGCACCTGTAGTCCCAGCTACTTGGGAGGCTGAACCCAGGAGGCGGAGGTTGCAGTGAGCCCAGATCGCACCACTCCAGTTTGGGCGACAGAGTGAGCCTCCATCTCAAAAAAAAAAGAGAAGAGAAAAGAAGAAAAAAGAAAAAGGCTGACAAAGCACAAAGTGTTGAAATAAATATTACATATTTCAACACTGTTACAGGTGTCCTCCCTGACCATTTCTAACCCTCCAGCCTCTGAGGCTACCCCCCAGGACAACAAGACACATTAACACCCTACAGCTGGATATTGCGGTGGTCCCTGCAGCTCTTTGGTTCATTCTTCTCATGTAGTACACCAAAATCTCACAAATGGGAGGTTTCTAAGATGGAGTTGGGGGGGATGAGAGAGATTTCAAATGTTTGTCCTGACTAAACAGCAAAGGCAAATTCTATAGTAAAAATCACACCACTACATTTTAGCTTTGTAATTGTGAACATCATGAAGGATATTTCTTTTTTTTTTTTTTTTGAGATGGAGTCTCGCGCTGTCGCCCAGGCTGGAGTGCAGTGGCGCGATCTCGGCTCACTGCAAGTTCCGCCTCCCGGGTTCACGCCATTCTCCTGCCTCAGCCGGAGAGAATGTAGCTGGGACTACAAGCGCCCGCCACCACGCCCAGCTAGTTTTTTGTATTTTTTTTTAAGTAGAGACGGGATTTCACCGTGTTAGCCAGGATGGTCTCAATCTCCTGACCTCGTGATCCGCCCATCTTGGCCTCCCAAAGTGCTGGGATTACAGGCTTGAGCCACCGCACCCAGCCGAGGGATATTTCTTAACTCTACACATCTCTGGATTACCCACTACACTCGAATACAGAGGTTATCATCCGGGGCAATTCTGCCCTGTAGGGGACATTTAGTAATCTCTGAAGGTCTGTGCTACTGGCATCTAGTAAGCAGAAGCCAGAGATGCTGCTAGGCATCCTTCAACACACAGGACAGCCCCCCCACAACAAAGATATTATCTGGCCCACATATCAATAGTGCCAAGGCTGAGAAACTCCGTTCTAATGCAAAACCTGTCCCATTCCTGCCCCACACCTTGGGAAAGTTCCAAGTTTTCACTGGTCCCAGTTCCTGACACTGCAAATGAGGATGCTTTCACTTTTGTATCTAAAAATCTCATGTCCCTGGCTAAGCCATCTTCCTCCACCAATAAGAGTTCCAAGTAGGCCAGGAGAGGTGGCTCATGCCTATATAACCTCAGCAGGATCACTTGAGGCCAGGAATTCAAGACTGGCCTGGGCAACATAGTGAGACCCCATCTCTACATTAAAAAAAAAAAAAAAAATTCCAAGTACCAAGCCACAAAATAAATATGCCCTCTTCTCCAATCACGATAACCCATTCTGACTGCCCTGGTAACAAGCTTGCCTTCAACTCTGACTCACACAAACTATATCATATACTGACCAAGGCTCAAAATATCCATCCTCTCCTTAACTACCTTTCCTAGTCAGGACTCCAAGTGAGGCAGAACAAAGATAATGAAAGAAGGAAGACTACACTAAGAGGGGGCTACTCAAAGAAAACTGTCATGTCCAGACTATTCAGAAGATTTCAAAGATGACTGTTCTCTGTCCTTATTTATTCTACATTATGTTGGTTCCACAGCATCAGTTGGATGTAAGTTCCACCATTATATCTCCAGCACCTAATTTAGTGTTAAGTATACGAAAGAACCAAAGGAAATATTGGTTGAGTCCACGGACTGAACAAATGAATGAGTAAATCTACCTTTCTGCCACTACCAGCTTACCCTCCAGTGAAGGTCATGGGCTTTGCTCTTACTGTTTTCAGAAAACAAAAAAAAATTCAGCTTCATACTTCACAGAGATAAAAATTTCAAGAGGGAAGAAAGGCCCCAAATCTTGACGTACTTAGATAGCCACTCCTTGAAGAAAATAAGGCCTGAAAATAGGGAAGTACTGATAATGTAAAAAGGCAATAAATTAGCTAGGCGTGGTGGCATATGCCTGTAGTGCCAAGTTCTCCCGAGGCTGAGGTAGGAGGATTATTTGAGCCCAGGAGCTGGAGGCTGCAGTGGGCTATGATCGCAACCACTGTTCTCAACCAAATGAACAAAACAGAAAAATAAATAAATGTCAGCTCTGAATTAATAAAACGTTCTGCTTGGTTTAACAGAACACTCAAGGCATATAATAGGTTTTTATACATTTGTTAATTAAAGAAACTACAGGTTAGATTTTCTGCCACACTTCCGGTCACTTTACTCTCAGAAGACCGGAAATGCCTCTGAAATTGCAAGACACTAAAGGCCACAGTCCAGAGGTTATATTAAGGTTATTCCCCTCTTTCAGCTCTGATTGTTTCTTAGAATTTCTTTTTTTTTTTTTTTTTTTTTTGAGACAATGTGGCTCTGTCGCCCAGGCTGGGGTGCAGTGGCACGATCTCGGCTCACTGCAACCTCCATCTCCCCAGTCCAAGCAATTCTCCTGCCTTAGCCTCCCGAGTAGCTGGGATTACAGGTGCCCGCCACCACGCCCAGCTAATTTTCATATTTTTAGTAGAGACGGAGTTTCATCATGTTGGTCAGGCTGGTCTTGAACTCCTGACTTCAGGTGATCTGCCCGCCTCAGCCTCCCAAAGTGCTAGGATTGCAGGCTGAGCCACCGTGCCTGGCCAGAATTTCAACTCTAACAGTTCAGGACTCTACCTTTTCCACCCCGAAAAATGAGCTAAGCAGGCAGGTTAAGGACCCCATTCGCGAGGCAGGTTACAGAGTCCAACCTCAAAAGACTAAAAGTAGGAAGACGACCTATCTCTTAAAAACTTCTAGGCCAGGCGCGGTGGCTCAAGCCTGTAATCCCAGCACTTTGGGAGGCCAAGACGGGTGGATCACGAGGTCAGGAGATCAAGACCATCCTGGCTAACCCGGTGAAACCCCGTTTCTACTAAAAAAAACACAAAAAACTAGCCGGGCGAGATGGCGGGCGCCTGTAGTCCCAGCTACTCGGGAGGCTGAGGCAGGAGAATGGCGTGAACCCGGGAGGCGGAGCTTGCAGTGAGCTGAGATCCGGCCACTGCACTCTAGCCTGGGCGACAGAGCCAGACTCCGTTTCAAAAAAAAAAAAAAAAAAATTCTTCCTTTGTTTGGTAAATTTTTGGCAAGATTACAGTATTTTAGTCTGCAAAATGCCCCCATAATAATTGTTCTCTTTAATGAGGAAACAAGACAAAACACTAAGCCAATGCTACTTTTACTGCTAGTGACAAACAATTTCCAGATGTCTTCAAAGATGGGATTTTTTGTTTTGCACAATTTGTTTAATTTCAAAATTAGGCAGACTGACAAGCTGGTAAAAAATAGTCCTTCTGACCCACATGAGATAATACTGAGAAACTATTCATTTGGGCTATACATAGGCATATGAGGACACCAACATTCTAAGAAACAAACCAAGAAGGTTATTTGCCCCAGGAATTACCTCAAATTTTATACTTGGCATTATTGCTGCTCTTGATACATCTCACACAAGGTCAAACATCACTATCAATTACTAACTTCTATACTGTTTTAACAACAAAAATAGCAGTTTGGTGCTTCACCTCTTCAGTGGTGACAAGAAAGGTCAACAGCAGGAAGACACTGTCAGTAACCTTAACAAGCTTTGCTTCTCTCCTAGTAATACTTGATTCCAGAGCTGCAAGACTACAAGATGAACTTTTCATTCTAGACTGGCTCTGGGATCAGCCCATATAGCTCTCTTTACATCTCAGATTTTTTCTTTCATCAAGAAGCTTAAAATATTAAGAAACATATTTCTCTTGACAGAAAAATGCACCCATTTTATAAGAAGGCCATGAAAGGTTTGCTTCTTTCAGCTCCCAGTTCAATCATGTATCAAATGAAATCACTATTTTCTTAAAATCAGCTTTTCTTTTAAAAGTCCAAAGACTCAGGAGTAGTTCTTTCTCCTTTCTTTACTCTTTTAACCCCCAAACAGGGAAAATCAACTTGCTGTTCTGCCAAGTGCCAATTCAAGTAACCAAAGGCTGAAGAAAGGGGAACTTAAAATCAACCCCATCGGACAGCAACTTAAAGGAACTAATCAGGGGCAAGAAAAAGGATGCTGACAGATGGACTTGTTTTTACTGTTTCCAGAATATGAAAAACCCCAACAGCCCCAGTGAGAAGAGCAATGATGCTATCTTACTAGTGATGATGTCACTTTCACACAATCATAAGTGTCTATCTGCTCCCATACTGGATCTTTTATCTAGGGATCTTCATCTAGGTGGGAGGTTTTTGCCTGGAAAATAAATAGTGAAAGGATGATTTAAATGACAGGCTTAGGTAGTTTTCAGAATAGTCCAAATAATCTTAAAACTTTATCTTTCAAGGCTGGGCGTGGTGGCTCACGCCTGTAACCCCAGCACTTTGGGAGGCTGAGTTCGAGTTCGAGACCAGCCTGACCAACATGGCGAAACCCCGTCTCTACTAAAAATACAAAAATTGGCCGGGCGCGGTGGCTCAAGCCTGTAATCCCAGCACTTTTGGAGGCCGAGACGGGCGGATCACGAGGTCAGGAGATCGAGACCATCCTGGCTAACACGGTGAAACCCCGTCTCTATTAAGAAATACAAAAAACTAGCCGGGCGAGGTGGCGGGCGCCTGTAGTCCCAGCTACTCGGGAGGCTGAGGCCGGAGAATGGCGTGAACCCAGGAGGCGGAGCTTGCAGTGAGCTGAGATCCGGCCACTGCACTCCAGCCTGGGTGACAGAGCGAGACTCCGTCTCAAAAACAAACAAACAAACAAACAAACAAAAAAACAAAAATTAGCCAGGCACAGTGGTGCATGCCTGTAATTCCAGCTACTGGAGGGCTGAGGCAGGAGGATCACTTGAACCTGGGAGACGAAGGTTGCAGTGAGTTGAGATGGTGCCACTGTACTCCAGCCTGGGCAACAGTGCAAGACTCCATCTCAAAAAAAAAACAACTTTATCTTTCAAAATCTAAAATCCTGTGGTCATAGGCTCTGCATGGTGGCTCATGCCTGTAATCTCAGTACTTTGGGAGGCTAAAGCGGACGGGTCACTTGAGCCCAGGAGTTCAAGACCAGCCTGTGCAAAGTGGCAAAACCCCACCTCTACAAAAATTACAAAAAATTAGCCAGGTGTGGTGGTGCGTGTCTGTGGTCCCAGCTACTCAGCGGGCTGAGGTGGGAGGATCACTTGAGCTGAAGAGGTTGGGGCTGCAATGAGCCATGATGGTACCACTGCACTCCAGCCTGGGCGTCGGAGTGAGACCCTATCTCAAAAAAAAAAAAAGAGAAAAGAAAAGAAAAGAGACCAGGCGTGGTGGCTCACACTTGTAATCCCTGCAGTTTGGGACGCCGAGGTGGGTAGATCACCTGAGGTCAGGAATTCAAAACCAGCCTGGCCAACATGATGAAACCCCATCTCTACTAAAAATAAAGAAATTAGCCAGATGTGGTGACGGGCTCCTGTAATGCCAGCTACTCGGGAGGCTGAGGCAGGCGACTCGCTTGAACCCGGGAGGCAGAGGTTGCAGTAAGCCGAGATCATACCACTGCACTCCAGCCTGGGCGACAAGAGCAAAACTCCGTCTCAAAAAAAAAAAAAGAAAAGAAAGAAAAATAAAATTATGTGGCCAACTGTTGCCCCTAACCAAATCCAGTGTGCAACAAAATGCCTGGGGACATAGCACACAGTCCATCACTATATGTTACAGGAGAAATATCCTGGGATTATCAACTGAAAAGAAAGAAAAAAAAATCTGGGCACATGACTTCGCAGGGAACAGAGGAAATGCTTACCAATCTCCAAGAAGAATAAAAGGGGAGATGTTCTTTTATGGATTAAAGAGTAAGTCATATGATAACAAACTGTACTATTCTAATTAGCTGGTTCTGCAGAAGGTAGTATCTCCAGCACCCTCAGTTAAATAACAGGCTTCCCACAGGGGCTGCCCTCAGGCTAGAATCACCACTGAGGACCGAGTTCACCAATCTCAGTCTGTAAATCAGTCCCTACCCCCAACACACAAATCCATCTAATAGTTAAATCTTCCTCACAGCTTCCTCCTCCTCCACTTCTCAGAATCTATCCTTCTTCACAAGCTCCTTAGCTCAGGTGCTCTGCAATATAGAAACTGTCATAATAACTATACTAAGTAGGACCCCAAGAAGCTACTCGTGCCACAAAAGATCCCTAGTCTCCCTGACAGCTCTCTATGCTGAGGGAATTTGCATCACTTATATAGAGTGTACCCCGCTGGTAGGTAACTGAGTTTGTATCTCTATGACCTCTAGCTCAAGGGAAAACAAAACAAAACCAGACAGGAAGACAGAGATGTTCGGGAGAAGGGATTGGGATACGTGAGTCAACTGAAGTTGACTACTTCCAATTGACAAGTTTGAAAAAAAAAAAAAAAAAAGTCCAACGAAAGGTCTCTCGGACCACATGGTCGGCAAGATCCAAGCTTGCCCAGAAGGCTTCAGAAAATGAAACCAAATCTGATTAAAATGGACATTTCAAAACAACAAGACACGCAGCAGCAAACGCACAGCTGCCATTTCCCGGCCACTTCCTGCGGGAGGCTGGGGGAGGGGCTGTTTGTGTACAGATGGAGGTGCAAGCTATCCCCATCCGTCTTCCCCCAGAGCAGACAAATCTCTCACTTCAATAAACCCTACAAAGGATAACTGCTATTGGCATTGCCTTCTTCTGAAAACTGGGAACACCGAGAAAGAAAGGGATGATGCGATATCACCTTTCTGCCACGGAAGCGGGGATCCCCTCACTGGGGAATCTCCTTGGAAAAAGGAATTCCTATTTATTCTTCCCTTCTGCCCCTCGGCCCAGCTCAAATTCAAAAGCCTCAGCGGAAGCCCTATCAACCTCCATCCCTGGAATGGGGGATTCTCCCGGGACGCGAGGGCCCCGAGCCAAGCGCAGCACCACCCTCAGCAAGGAAGGCCCTCTGCTGATCTCCACGCTCAAGAGAATAAGTGCGCTCCCCGAGGGAGACACCCTCAGACCCCTGGAAACCCCTTCCGCCCTCCACTCACCGCAGCCAAAACGCCCAGCTCCCTGCAAACGGAGCGTTTAACCCGCCAAGGGAACCCCTTCACCCACCACTCGCGCTCAGGCAATCCCCACCCCCACCCGAGGAGGTGGAGCCCCTCCCGGGGATTCCACCCCAAGTCCCCCATAGGAGTCATCTCCACCAGCCAGGTGGCTTCTCCGCCTCCTCACAGTCGTCGCCAGGAGCCCCTACAGCTCCTCCTGCCCCCGCGGCCCCATCCGGGGTCCTCAGCAGCCCCACCAGCCCTGTTCTCCTCCCAGACCCCAGGGCAAGGAGACCCTCGCCTCAGGTTGGATCCTCTCAGGAAATAAGCTCCAGTCGGCTTCCTGCCCCGGCGAGGTTCAAGCCGGCTCTGGAGCCTCTGTTCCCCGGGGAAACTCTCGGATGAAAGTGGGGCTCTCTCCCCCTCAGGCCCCTGGCCACAGACCCCACAAACCTGAGGCAGCGGCGTCCAGCCAGGCTCGGGGCTCGTCTCTCCCCGGGTAACAGGCAGTTCACATGGCCGCGCTCCGGGCGCCAGAAGGGGTGGAGACGCCCGCTGGGGGAGGGGGTCTGGGGTCCGGGGTCCGGGAGGGGGGAGGGGGACGCGGCTCAACCGCGGGGCCCGAGAGGAGCCAACATGGCCGGCGGGGGAGGAGTGAGTCGCAGCCGGAGGGGGCGGAGAAGCCTCGGCCGGGAGAGAGTCTCCCCACGCGGCCTCCGCCACAGGGTCCTAAAGCCTGCCAGCCTCTCTTCCCGACCCGGACCTGGGTCCTAGCGCCGCTGTGTCTCCTGCAACCCTGGCCACCTTGCCCACCTGGCAGCTCCCTCTGCACCCGCATCTCATGGCGGCAGTAGTCCTGCTTCACACAGGGCAAACTGAAAGGCGTGCCACAGTTCCAAGGTTAACCTAAAAGACTAGACCAAATGTCTAGGCCCAAAGGCATGTGCCACTTCTCTAACAAGCTGGTAGGGGGTGAGAGTCAGGGGAATTTCGGGGGCAGTTGTTTCCCAGGTAGGGTAATGGAAACGTGGAAATAGAAAGGTTACTCACTCAGGGCGCTAAAGGGATGGGGAAAGGCAAGAGAGTCTGCCACCCACTCACCTCTGTCCCTTCAGTGCTGCCTGGTCCTGCCTGGATCACCACTTTGCTGGCGACATCTGCAGGGTCCTGGTCACTGGAAAGGAAAGATTCCTGTGCGTAGGGGAAAGAAGGTTCGGCTCTGGAACCAGACAGCAAAGACCTGAGTGTAGCCTAAATGCAGTCAGAGAAGTAAAGGATAAGCTGAAAACTAATCAGCAAAAAGATGTCACAAATGTCCACCCATTCTATAATTCTGGTAATTTTTTTCTGACAGGGCTACATAACTGTGTGAAAACTCAGAACAGAAAAGTAAAATCTAGCAGAGGACTAGAGTTTGGCTGTCACCTAAAATGTCTATTGCAGAGCCCCAGGATGAAGAACAGTGTCATATGATATTAGAGCTTAGAGAATTTCTAGTTCATCCTTCTCTCCTTCATCAGATGAAGAAATTAAGACCCAAAGAGGTTCAATGACTTCTTCAAGGTCAAATAGTGGATAAAATATGACAAGAAAGTTAACCTGGTTTCCTTTCCTTGCAACTCAACACTCTGCAGGCTTCAAGATAATTCCCATTCAATTCAGTGCAACGCAGTTCTAGAAACAATGGCCTAAACTGTGCAAAGCTCAGGCTGCTGAATATTCTGGAAAAGCGACAGAGTGGGGATGATGAAACTCTGGCAAGTTGGGGGGGGTGTCAACAAATACATTTTCCTCTGGGGGTCTGAGGAGGAAAGAGATCTGAAAAATGGGCAGAGTTGGGGGGTGAGATCCATCAGTCTAGATGGGATTTCCTTACTCCACAGAGGGGTGGGCTCTTCTTCAGTTTTGGGGAAAGACTCCACCCCACCCCTCATCCCCTACAAATGGCTCAGAGAGGATAAGAAGGAAGCTAGCTTTAGCAAAGGCTCATAGAGTGTGTGGGCCACAGATAGAGAAGGTTAAGGGGGTTTCTCTTCCTCTCTCGAGGTAAGTAGATTACCAGTGGAGGGAATAGGCAGGTGGAAACCAAAACCCTTCTCTCCTCCCTGTCGAAACAACAGATTTACAGGTCACCTTGGGGAAAAAAAAAATACTCCTCCAACAGCCTGCCGACCTCAAATCCCTGAGTAGGTGGAGGTCACACTCAGAGGAGAGGTTTCCTTCCTTCTAGAGAAAGGAGGGCTCTGGCAAACTTCTGCTAAGAAATGCCTCTCTATCCCCAAATAAAAAAGGCTGGGGAAGAAAGGCATACAACTGACGCCTCAAGGGCGGCGGGATGGGGGTGGGGGTGGGGGTAAGGAAGCTGGTATCCCTTTTTCTTCCCTTCCCTTTTCCAGGGCAGATGAGGGAGGATCTTCCTACCTCCCGCTCCCAATCTTAAAGGGGGCCGGCCAGTCGGGGACTGGGCAGGCAGGGGAGGAGCCTGCGCCCGTCAGACGGGTGTAGCCACGCCCCTCCCCACACCCACACACACCCACCGCTGGCTCCTCTGTGCTCCGGAAGAGCCGGTTACTCCTGTGCCCCACTGACTGCCCCCACCCCTTCCGAGCCCCAGGCCTAGTCTCCAGGGCAACCTTTAGGACTATTCCAGCCAGGAGCGGCTGGGAGAGGGGTGTTGGATAGGAGAGGACCACCTGGGATTAGAAAAGAAAACGAGGTAGGATCCATTCTTCCCATCTGGTGCAGAAAGACTGCAATCATCTTCATCCCTGAATGAGACCCCCGCCTCATCTCATCTAATCAGGCTTCCCTGCTCTGAGGAAGGATGAGGTTGGGGTGACAGTGTGCCCAACAGCTGGATGTTTACTTCCTGCTATAAGGCCTCCCATTCTGCAGCTGTGCTTCTCCCCCCATCCAGAGGACAGACTGACCCCAAATGTCCTCAAACATTCCTCAATCCCATCAGATGTGGCTGATCACCCACCCACCTCTCTTTTCCCCACCCATTTCCTTTCAGGAAGCTACTAGAAAGGGGAAGGGGCAAATGGTCATTTTATCAGCAACTTGTAAGGAGAGTCTCCAGGGAATAGGCTGAACCTCAAGCCAGGCCACTGGACTAGTAATGAAGAGAATGGGGAGGGACAAACTAGCACCTGCTCCCCATTTCTCACCCTCCTGTGTTCCTGCGGCACCTCCCTGACTCTGGGGTCAGCTGCCACGGTGCCTGGCTCCACTCTGGAGCCAGATGGCTGGGGCTGGGAGGAGGAAGAGAGAGAAGGGGATTCGTTTGCATCCCTCTACGTCCTTCCCTCTCCCCCACCAGATACTCCTGGCATCCAACCCCAAACACCACTGCTGAACACCCTCTCCTCCCCTCAGCACCCCCTCCAAACATGACTTAGAAGAGTCTGAAGCAGATCCTGACACCCAGTCCCCTAATTCTGGAGGTAAGGAGTGGGAAATGACAGAGCATAGCTAGGGACGCAGCTGGACTGGGGGCGGAGGGGGAATTCTCTAATGGAGGTGGGATAATAATTAAAGACCTCTCTTCCCCTCACTGGCTGAATGGATCATACTGTTAACAGGGTCTGTCTAGCAGGGAGATGGCTCTCAGCCGAGTAACCATTCCAGCTGGACACCCCCCCACACACACACAGGTTAAAGCAAAAGTCTTCACCTTCTCTGTATTCTGGAAAGGCTAGATTCTCCTAATACATCACAAGGGCCATACCCCTCCCCTTCTTTCCCCACTTTCTTTTTTTTTTTTTTTTTTTGAGACAGTCTTGCTCTGTCGCCCAGGCTGGAGTGCAGTGTCGTGATTTCAGCTTGCTGCAACCTACACTTGCCAGGTTCAAGCGATTCTTGTGCCTCAACCTCCCGAGTAGCTGGGATTACAGGCACACGCCACCACGACCAGCTAATTTTTGTATATTTTGTAGAGACGGGGTTTTGCCATGTTGCCCAGGCTGGTTTAGAACTCCTGACCTCAAGTGATCTGCCCGCCTTGGCCTCCCAAAGTACTGGGATTACAGGCGAACACCACCCCACCCCGGCCCCTTTCTCCCCTTTAAGTCGACAGGTGGCTCCTCAGATTCGCACAGTCTTGTTTCCAAACTTCCCAATGGGATTCTCTATGGTGGTCCTGTAAGTTACAGAAAGCCCCTATTTCCTAGGGAGCCGGGGGGCTTCCTTTGCACCGGAACAGAGAAGACTGGACTTCTCTTGCCTTCCTCATCGCCCCAACTCCCTTAGAGATTTAGCCCCAGCTCCCCACCCACTCTCTCCCAACCGTCCCTGAGGCCCTGAAGCACAAGATTCCGGCAGCGCCCTAGCCCCCAGCTCCCAGGTTCTGGGGGAGGGGCCTTCCTAGGCTGCACCGACCAACCCTAGGCCCAAGAGGAGAGCCCTTCCCACCTGGGCTCAGTAGGCGGTGCTGAGGTTGGACCCCAAGCTCCAGGAGATGTAGGGTGGGGTGAGGACTACAGAAAAGGTTTAGATGAGACTTAGCTGAACTTAAAGGGCTGAGCGGAGCAGGGGCAGATAGTGTTGTCGATGTTGCTCCCCCGCCCCCCTTACTACGGGGAAGGAGAGGAGTTGGGGTGGGTATCCCCCCTCCCATTGGGGTTAGGAAGGCGTGGGAAAGCGCTAGTTCCAGAGGGGAGGAGGCGAAACCCAGACCGCGGGAGATTTTTCTGGCGAGGAAGGCGCGGGGGAGGGGGAGATCCTGGGCCCAGAATAGGAAGGGTACTCGAGAGAGGATGGCGGAGAGGCGTGAGAAGCCTCCGGATTCCGGTCGCAAAGGATAGGGGAAAAATGGGCGAGTAGATAGTTCAGGGCAGAGAGGAAGGGCAGCTCCCTGAGGGGGAGAGTCAGATCCCGAATCCCGGAGCAGCAGGGATCCCGGGGCAGGATACCGCAGGAACGGCCCGCCAGGGGACTCCGGAGCTGGAGGTGGGTGCCGGGCCTCACCTGGAGCAGGGCCGGGAAGCGGGCGGCGGCGGCGGCAGCGGCGCAGGTGGCCGAGCCGGGCGGCGGCGGCGCCTCCTCCCCCAGCCCTGGGCCGGCGGCGGCGGAGGGGAGGAGGTGGTGCTTAAAGGGGCAGGAGCTACCGAGGTGAGGACAACCGCTCAGGAGAGCAATCGCGAAGGATCCACTGGGGGAGAGGGAAGCGGGTGGCGTCTCCTAGGGGCCAGAACCAGGAAGGATCCCAGATGGGAGGAAGAGAACAGATCCCAGAAAGAGACAAACTTCTGCGGTGAAGTGGGGGATGGTGGTAGGTCCGAAAGGAAGGACTCGGGAAAGCTCTGCCCGCGCTGCCAGGGCACCAGCAAAAACCGCCTCACAAAGGTGGCCGGGGAAGGCAGCGAGAGCTACATGGGCTCCTAGGAGGCCCCTAGGGATGCAGGAGAGGGAACTCAAGGCCGAACCTGCTGGGGGTCACGCGCAGCGCCCTACTAGGTGAACAGGTTCCCCGTGTTTCAGCTCCTCAGGGCCCCATCCCTACAGCTGTGGGGCATTTGGAATCAGGAAGCTACGAGGGCAAAAACCTCCTATCCTCTCAACCTCAATCCTTCCTCCCACTCAGTGCCCTCAGTAACTGTAGTGTGGGGGCCATCAATAGCAGCCCTAGTGAGGCTGATGTGGGACCGCGAGAATCGACTTTGGTTCAGTTTTCCCCCAACCACCACCAACCTCGCTTCAGTCCCTGGGGCAACAGGAAGCAGCTGCTCAGTGCAGCCCCCACCTGAAGGTGGGTCAAGGTGGGGGAGGAGAGAAGGCAGACTTAAAAGGCCTTAGAAAAATGAGAGGGAGGGGAGGCACTTTCAAGACCTTCCAGCACTGCCAAAAGCGGGCTTTACTTTTATGGGGGCTAGCAGTGAGTACGGTCAAAATTTCCTTGAATCTCAACAGCTTAAATGGCGAGGAGCAGGGGCAATCCTCCACGGGGCGGCGGGGAGGGGGTTGGGAAAGCCCTGGCCTAAGGTGCGTCTGGGGCTCTTACTTAGAGCTGGGGCTTGCCCATACTCAGGATCCCGTGGTCGGCAGCCTCGCCAGCTGAACCCTGTGCCCCCCGTCCCCCAGAGTCCTGTTTCCTCTCCTTCACCCCCCAAATGAGCAAAGGTTAGGCCCCACCCCTGCTGAGTCAGCCAGGGAGGGAGTAGGCATCCCTCAGGCCTTCCCCGGGGCTGGTCCCCATACTCACCCATGTCAGGCTGGCAGGGCTCGAGGTTGGGGCCACCCAGCTCCTCACTGTCCTTGGGCCCCCACTTCACGTGAAGGCTGGTGTTGGATCCTTCCAAACTGTGAGCTGGGAACTAGCAACAATCAAAAAGCCAGTGTATGCTTCCTGCGAACCACACAGCCTGAACTGCTGTAGGGTGATGTCCCTGTGTGACAGACTGGGTGGGGAGGGAGGAGGGAAGGGCGGGGCCTTCTCTGGGTGGAGAGAGGGAGGAGGCGAGGACAGGGCAGACCAGGAGAAATATGGAGGAAGGTTAGAGCTGTGTTGACACTCCAGTGGCGTGGTAGAAGAGGCGGGCAAAGGGGGAAGGAAATAAATAGTTGCAGCTACTGAGAGGGAGAAGGTTCTCGATAAACGCTGAAGGACGTGAACGTGTTGGGGGAAGGGGTGGAGGGATGCAAAAGACCTTTAGGATTTCAGTTCCCAGGTCTGTATCGGGTGACGTGAGAAAACAAAGCAGAAAGGGCTGACCTGTACGCTAGGGCTTTTTCTACCAGCTTCTTACCCACTCCAGAGTCAGGACCTAGAGGAAGTGTCCCCACCCCCATAACTCAGCATTTCCCCAAATCCAAGCTTTTCTGGGAGCAAACTACCAGCACAAGCAGCTCAGGGGCTCCACCTTCTGTCCAGATCATGACACAGTAGAGACTGCGGGAGAGGCTGCTGCCAAGGACGTCATAGGCAGATGGAAGGAAGCTTAGAGGCCCCTACTCCACCCCTGGCGCCGCGCCAAAAAGCCCTCCCCAACCTTCAGCCCCCAGGGGCCTCTGAATTGGGAGCTCAGCTTGTCCCCGCCCAGCTTCTACCTAACTTGATGGCCTCAGCGGGTGGAGCTTATAGATGCAGGCTCCTCCCCAGGACAAAAGCCCCAGCTGGTCTGTAAACAGTCCTTAACTGAGAGCCACATCCCAGCAAATGGCCTTCGTGGATTTGAAAATGGGATCAGAGTTACTGCAGAGTCTCCAGTGCTACCGCGAGAGGGCAGTAGGATGAGTCTGGTCCCGGAAAAGAACACAAGGGGAACCCAATCTGACCTTGCAAGCTTCTTTTAAATTGAAATGGTGAAATACACCTTCTACCCCTGCACCTTTCAGTAGGCTAAAATGAAAGGAAAATAACCTAACTTCATTAGTTTAGAAGCCCAAGCCAGCAACCCTGAAAATTGCTATTCCCTTGAGATTCTCTTTTCTGGACTTTCATAAGGGATCTTCACAGGGGGTGAACTAGGCCTCATATGCCTCTGCATAGCCTCAAGCAATCACAAGCAACTTTTATTTAGACTTGCCCAAAATGTCAGGAAGTATTTCAGTACACTTTCTGAAGACATGAAGGCCTAACCAAGATGTAGAGAACCGTTTTGATTCAATTTTAACAAAGATCAGTATTCATCACTATTTCTTGAAAATTCATTAAACTCAGATTAACCCCTGGAAATCAGTTACTTCTAAAACGAGTTTTTCCCAATATGCCCTTCAAAAAAGACCTATTTTTAACCAAGAAGTAGGGATGTGCCACATGAAATAGAGGCCCAAAAACAAAAAAACACATCAATTTGTATTGAACTAAAGGCCCCAAACTGAGGCCCTACTAAGATCACACTACCCAAAGGAAACCCCGCATGAGAGGTACGATTGCCCATCAACAAAAGAGAATGGCTAGTTTTAAGGACCGATTTCAAACATACATGGCCCACTTCAAGCTGAACCTGCTTCTTATAGCCACTCTAAAAATCTAATTGTTGAAAATAGTGCTGGTGATGTGAGACTGCATACACCTGTAGCCCCAGCTACTCAGGAGACTGAGGTGGGAGATCTGGAGCCCAGGAGTCGGAGACCAGTCTTGGCAACACAGCCAGACACCGTGTCTCTAAAACTAAAACTAAATACATAACCCTTGAGTGTTGACTATGTTGTCAGAACCAAGAGAATCAGACAAATTCTGAGGGGTGTACATTTTATTGGAAACCTTAAATACCGTTCAGACAGAATATATCTTCAATCAAGGCTCTTGTGCAGCCAACACAGATAAATGAAGCTTTTTAAAGGGTTAGGGGCAAGGAGAGGGACAGTACAGAGGACAAGGACCCCTCACGACGCATGCTCTTCAGCCAGCTTATCAGCTTTTGCCACAGCTTCTTCAATGGGTCCCACCATATAGAAGGCCTGTTCTGGGAGATGGTCATATTCACCTGTATGACGGGGAAAAAAAAATAAGAAGTGGAGGGATATCAATTTTCTGCATCGTGTAACATTCCTTACCACTTGAGGCCATCAGTTAGAATGTGACGACTTAAGGTCATCTTAGAAAGCTTAAATTTTCCTCACAAATCAAATTTACAAGACATGATACAGTATGAATTAAGAACACATGGGTCAGGCATGGTGGCTCACACCTGTAATCCCAGCACTTTGGGAGGCCAAGGCGGGCGGATCACCTAAGGTCAGGAGTTTGAGACAAGTCTGGCCAACATGGTGAAACCCCATGGCTACTAAAAATACAAAAATTATGCATGGTGGCGTGTGCCTGTAATCCCAGCTACTTGGATGGTTGAGGCTGGAGTATCACCTGAACCTGGGAGGTGGAGGTTGCAGTCAGTCAAGATTGCACCAGTGTACTCCAACCTGGGCGAGAGACTCAGTCTCAGAAAATACGTATAAAATAAAAGGGAGCTAAAGCATCAAGTAACAAATCACAAATTAAATGTAGAGTATTTTCTTTTTGAGACGGAGTCTTGCTCTGTCCCCCAGGCTGGAGTGCAGTGGCGCGATCTCGGCGCACTGCAAGCTCCACCTCCCGGGTTCACGCCATTCTCCTGCCTCAGCCTCCCCTACAGGCGCCCGCCGCCACGCCCGGCTAATTTTTTTGTATTTTTAGTAGATACGGGGTTTCACCGTTAGCCAAGATGGTCTCAATCTCCTGACCTCGTGATCCACCTGGCTTGGCCTCCCAAAGTGCTGGGATTATAGGTGTGAGCCACCGCGTCCGGTCATGTAGAGTATTGTCAAACAAAATTAATGGGAAAGTTTGTTTTTTAATTAAAAATATAATTAGGCATAGTATATTATATATTGCTTGATGGTCGTTGGAATGGGACCACAGCACAGTAAACATTCAAGATTTTGGCTTTTCTGTGATCTTATGTTCAGCTTTGTACTCAAAATCTCACCTGCCAAAATCTGCTGGAATCCTTTGATGGTCTCCTTCAGGGGTACCAGCTTCCCCATATGACCTGTGAAGACCTCAGCAACCTGGAATGGCTGAGACAAAAAACGCTGTATTTTCCGTGCACGGGACACGGTCAACTTGTCTTCCTCAGAAAGTTCATCCATACCCAGGATGGCAATGATATCCTGGAGGGATTTGTAGTCCTATGAGAAAAAAGAAGCCTGAGTTAAGTACTCTCATTCCTTTAATCTGGACAAGCTAACAAAAGGAAAGTTACATGCTAGGGGGCAGAGAGGGTGGTGGTGGTATGAGGACCCTCAGCCAAGAAAGATTAGTGTCTTTCTTGTTCTCCATAGTCCTAGTTTGGTGCTGTTAGAAAAATACTGCATTCCACCGGGCGCGGTGGCTCACACCTGTAATCCCAGTACTTTGAAAGGCTGAGGTGGGCAGATCACAAGGTCAAGAGTTCAAGACCAGCCTGACCAACTGGTGAAACCGTCTCTACTAAAAATAGAAAAATTAGCTGGGTGTGGTGGCACGCGCCTGTAATCCCAGTACTCCAAGAGGCTGAGGCCAAGGAGAAATCACCTTTGAACCTGGAAGGCGGAGGTTTGCGTGAGCCGAGATGGTGCCACTGCACTCCAGCTTCAGCGACAGAGACGCATCTCAAAAAAAAAAAGAAAAAATTTGCATGCCACAGCATTAAGTACCTGGAAACTCAAGAGACCTCATTTAGCTCTCACTAGCAATTGCTAGCCTCAACTTTCCTTGGCTCAAAACAAATCACACAAAATCACTAAGAAAGATCCCAGTCCTGGCCGGGGTGGTGGGCTCAACCTGTAATGCCAGCACTTTGGGAGGCCGAGACGGGCCGGATCCCGGGGTCAGGAATCAAAACCATCCTGGCCTAACACGGTGAAACCCCGTCTCTACTAAAAAAATACAAAAAACATAGCGCCGGCGAGGTGGGCGCCCTGTAGTCCCAGCTACTCGGGAGGCTAATGGCAGGAGAATGGCGTGAACGCCGGTAGGCGCGAGCTTGCACAGTGAGCTGAGATCCCCGGCCACTGCACTCCAGCCTGGCCGACAGAGCGAGACTCCGTCTCAAAAAAAAAAGAAAAGAAAGATCCAGTCCTTAATACAGCCCACCAATCCCTCTTTTTAACTTTCCGGACAGTGACCCCCTAGTAATATACCACCTGCAGGATTTTTTGCACCCCACGGGCACATCGTAATGCTCACTGCCAACAATGTTTGGGATCCATGATGCGAGAGGTTGGCATCTAGAGGATCCACAGCTGGATAGATGCCAGCTCCAGCAATGGCACGGTGACAGTACAGTGGTAGCATCCAAATGGGCAAACCGTAGTAGCAGGAGCAGGGTCAGTCAAGTCATCAGCAGGCCATAGATAGCCTAAAATGAGATCCCACTGAAGTACAGCACGAACCAAAGTAAATTTTTTTTTGTTTTAAAAGTATCTTTTTTTTTTTTTTGGACAGGGTCTCGCTTCTGTTGCCCAGGCTGGAGTGCAGTGACGCAATCTCGGCTCCACCGCAACTTCTGCCTTCCCGGATTCAAGCAATTCCTCTGCCTCAGCTTCCCGAGTGGCTGGGACTACAGGTGCCCGCCACCACATCTGGCTAATTTTTTTTGTACTTTTTAGTAGAGATGGGGGTTTCACCATTTGGCCAGGCTAGTCTTGAACTCCTGACCTCGTGATTCCACCGACCCTTGGCCTCCTAAACTGCTGGGATTATAGGTGAGCCGCCACGCCCAGCAACCAAAGGTAATTTTACTTAAGCCATCCCTTTCTGAATATCTTTACCATCTCATTCCATTTAGCACTCCAAAGACCCTTCTTACCACCCCTAATACCTGCTGAATAAGCTGACAGATTATCTGGTCTCTCAGCCATGATGGAAGAATTTTTAATATCATTCTTTTTGCTCTTCATCTCGTATTTTAACTCTATTTTAATAATACCCACTTTTAGAATTA